CTTAGGCGTCTGCCTTCGGCTCAGGTCATGGTCTCGGGGTTTTGGGATCGAGCCAGGGGTCCTGGGATCGAGCCCCATGTTGGGCTCAGCGGGGAGTCTGCTTCTCCCTCTCCCTCTGCTTTCCTCCCCCCCACCCCCCTGCTCGTGTGGGCGCTCACTCTCTCCAATGAATAAAGAGAATCTTTTTTTAAAAAGGGTCATTAATCAGGTGTTGAAGAATGGATAAGATGTAAACAGCCAGAGAGCAGCACTCCCATGTTAAGAAAGACAAAAACAAGGAAAGGGTGAAGGGACAAAATCAACATGGTGTAGCACTGATGACAAGACAGCAGTGTGACTCCATGTTGGGGACAGTGGGGGATGCTACTGGTCCAACAAAGTGGGGCTAGATAACTGAGGGTATGGAGGGAAGCTTGAGGGGCTGTTAATAGACCAGTGAAGGAAGGTCTTGAGCAGAAGAGCAAGGTGATGAAGGAAGTGTTTAAAAAAATGAAGTCTGGTTATGGAATGAATAAGTCACGGGGATGAAAGGAACAGCATATGGAATATAATCCTGTACTAGCAGTGTAAGGGGACACATGGTAGCTACACTTCTGGTAAGCCTAGAATAACATACAGACTTATCCAATCACTATATTGTATATCTGAAACGAATGTAACATTGCGTGTCAACTATGCTCAAATTGGAAAAAAAAAAAAAAATCAGCTCTGAGAGAACAGTGCAGGATGGACATGAAGGGAGAGCCCAAAGTAAAGGGTGGCCACTGGAAAGACGGTCATAACCTGGTGAGCCAAAGGGGTCCAGGGTCTATCCTGGGGATGGGGGAGTCACTGGGAATGGAGAGGAGCCCAAACAAGGAATTAGAAGGATCTGTTGACTGGGTGTAAAGGACGGTAGTGCCAAGAACCGAGCCAAGGAAGTGAGGAAGACAAGCTGGGTTGGAGGGCAAGGAGGCTTTTGGACATGATGAATATGAAGTAAGAACAGGACATTAAAGTCTGAAATACCCAGGAGCAGATAAATTATAGAATGGGATCTCGGAGAAAGAAATGGATCCCAACTAGAGACTTAAGAGCCTTCTATAGATAAGGGAAATCTGAAGTCCTAGAATGAGAAAGAGAAAGGAAAAGTGCATAAGAGCACAACAGTGATCAACAGCTGAACCTCGAGGCCATTTCAAAACTGGAGGTTCACAAGAATATGGGCGCAATGAAAGGAACAGAAAAGGAGCGATCAGTGTGGAATAAAAATTTAGGATCCTAGTGTCACAGAATGAAAGGAGTTTCAAGAAGGACTTGGTGATAGATGATGGATGACAGGAAAGGGCCAGAGCATGTTAAAGATACCATTATATTACTTACAAATGAGCAGGGGTTTTCCCCCTCTCCACTACTGACATTGTATATACAATTATGTAATGGATTAGTGGACAGAAAAAGGGGTTTTATGGCTATAAGACATGCTCTGTTTTGGGCACCTGGGTGGCTCAGTCGTTAAGTGTCTGCCTTCGGCTCAGGTCATGATCCCAGGGTCCTGGGATCGAGTCCCATGTCGGGCTCCCTGCTCGGCGAGAAGCCTGCTTCTCCCTCTCCCACTCTCCCTGCTTGTGTTCCCTCTCCCGCTGTCTCTCTCTCTGTTAAAAAATCAATAAAATCTTAAAAAATAAAAAGACATGCTCTGTTTTATGGGTTTTTTTTTTTTTTTAGATTTTATTTATTTATTTGAGACAGAGAGAATGAGATACAGAGAGCATGAGAGGGAGGAGGGTCAGAGGGAGAAGCAGACTCCCTGCCGAGCAGGGAGCCCGATGCGGGACTTGATCCCGGGACTCC